AAAATTCTTGTCAGCCTTCAAGGGAGGCAGACTATGTTCAGGAGTTTGAGTTTAGATCGCATTTTATCGTAATGCTGTCTGACTCACACCTGGAAGTGATACCTTTACGAAGGTACTTGGAAGAAGTAATGTCCACATAAAGCCCGGTCGAATCGAACCTACGTTAATTGAGGAACTGGCGGTAGTCGTAATTAGGCTTCTGTACAGTGGTTTGGATGTTATGCTGAAGGTTAATTCTCTATGAGCGCGTCGGAGGTGAGAGGCTTCATTCATGCAAAGAAGGACGAGAAAGGCATTTGCTGCTGAGCAGTCCCGCGGGGTTTCGTTGAAAATCCTGCTGCGAAAAAACAGAATATTTGCCTTCTATGGCCGATAAACGACCGGCGCACCTCTGGCGGGGACTTGTCGAGCTTCAGTAGGCAGAGGGTAAACTGCTCACAGTTTAGTTTATTCAATTTCACGTCGTCAGAGCTGTGGTCAATAAGGACCCAGCCTATAGAAAAATATGTTTTTTAAGAAGCATGGATACCCGGTCCAAAGCTTTTAAATGTTAATATCAACGTCCCAAAGTTTCGTGAAACCGTGGAAAGACTTTATAGCTCAGAAACGTCGTGCATTTACTACACACGACTGCGGAAACAGCGAAAATAATATGATTTCCGTGCGTTTTGTGATGGGGGTATGTTGAAGGTTATGCAAACCTTCGATCGAATTTATTGTATAAAAGATTGTCTAATCGAATTTGGTGCGAGGTACGACATTATCCTAAGTAGGGTGTGGCTAGAACGCCACAAACCATCGGTCAATTGAACTCCAAAAGTGTCAAGTGCTGTGCCTTTTCTCCGTGGTGAAGTGTTGGCGACCCCTGAATCTTTCCCGAAAGAAAATAGCGAAGCGTTGACGCGGGCATGAAGCTACGATAGCTTCCTCGCAAAACATGACATTGTTCGAAAGCGATAGCAGTCGTATACCTAGTTGTCTCGAGTAGCGCTTAGTAGGCAGAACTTGTGGTGAGCCGTGGTCACAGAATGGAACAAAAAACATCGCGGTCTTGAAGTGATCTCTTAAAAGTCTGGAAAGTATGACTTTATGTAGAGTGTACCTCTACTGGATCGGTTAAGAACAGCTTTGAGCTATTGTCTCCTGCGTCAGGGCGGGTGGGGAGTGAATGCAACGGAGTCTCAGGACCAGAGCCGTTGAGTCTAAGGGCGACTATTATACGCGTGTAGAAATGCCGGGCCTTGAAGATAAGAAGCATTTGTCACGATGTGACAGTACTATTGGATCGCCTATTTCGTGTGACGGACACACCTTACGATGCAGTGAAGCCCGAAGGGTAAGTAACGAAATTATTTAGTGATGAGTAGAGCGACCGGGGTAGTCCTAGCGGCGTTCACTGCTTCCAGCGACAGGTAGTAAAAAGCTGGGCGATGATAATTCGCTGATATGAGCAACGAATAGCATTACGGTGCGGTCACCGAAATCGTACAGTTGGTATCGAAGTAGTAGCTGAGCTCATCAATCTGCATGTCGCTGAGGACATTTGCAGAGCACTGAGTGCGATGAATACTCAGCTATCTACGAACTCTCCTAAATTTTCGCTGAAAGAGTACTGCGGGGTGGTGAGGAGGCGTTCACACTGCTGGATTCTTCTGGAATAGATAGTTTTTCATAAAATCGACAAATGTTGCATCACACTGCATTGGTCTAAACCAAGAGAATACAGTGACGACACTAATCTTTTTTCCGCTCAAATCAAATTTGGTTTGGAGGTCAACTTCCACTCGGCGTCGACCCTATGAGTCATGACAATTTATAGATATTGGCAAATTGTCCGTGCGTACAATAAGCAGCTGTCGGCTTCAATTTCGACGCACAGTTGAGTTTTAGAAAAGATGTGATGTAGAATAACATGGACAGATAGCTTTTTCGTACCCTAGTGTAATTATTAGCTACTGATAAGAGACAGAGATATCCCACAAACGCCGGTGAATCCTCTGAGCGATGTGCTTTTGGAGAGGTAGATTATGTCACAAGGCTATCTAATAAACCAACGACGTTCAATTGTACGGTGACACTGCTGGTGATACCAGATCGTGGCTATGTCAATTCTTACGACGATGTATTTGCCCATAGTCGTACAGAATACGAATAGTCACATTGTGGAGAACCACATTGAACACTAAAAAAAAGCTCACATGTATACGCTGAAACCAGCTGCTCGTCATTATATGCAGCTGTTTTACTGGCGCCGATGATTTTCCTTATGATTTGCTCCATGGGAAGGTAGATCCTCATGGCGGATCCCGCAGGGATAAAGGTCATTGCAGATTGATAAAGGTTTGTGTCCCGGAGGGACGTAAGCAAGTGGCCTCACATGGCCAACAATTTGCACAGGTACAGTGCATACCATGTCAACGAGGCACAACCCTTACCAATCTTTTCAAAAAGAAACTAAACTGTTGGGGGCAGCGATCGACCAGGAGCTACTCGGATGAAATATTTCATCGTCAATGTCAGGATACATCTACTAAACTCGATGCCATTTGTGATCTGAACAAATCATTCGTCGTCGCGCACAGTAAATTCGTCACAGCAGCTCTCAAGAAAGAGTACGATGGCTATCTTTCTTAAACGATTGAGGTAATACGAATGCTGGATTAGACTCATGTGGCGACAGATGTATGATTTGTAGCTGTTAAAGGTATCTTTTTTGAAGCGCGCGTTACCTGTACCGCTCTACCGTAAATAAGCCCCAATCCGCAAAAAAATCAGCGTTTAGGGGTTGCTCACGACAAAAACCTCAAATATGGAGTATTTTCAGAAACACATGATACGCTCTCGTTGGCCGCCTTAAAACATACTGCTTGTTGAGCGCTGTGTATCGGCGGCTCAGCATGCATATGCGAGTAACCACATATGTGCACACGCGTGAAATATGTCAACTGGTTGAGCCTTCGCCACATGTAGCGGCAGCTATGGGCTATATTTCGGTCTGCTAAAAGTAGCGTGTGGTAATATCATCATTATGACCTCTATGGGGGGTCAGAGCAAGATGGCTCATCGCGGTGCTTTTGGCCACGATGTGATCAGTGAGGTACAACCGAGCAGTCTCTTAGACAAAGTGTTTCACCAACATGTCTTGCCGATAACCATTATATCTTATAGAGATCCGCGCTATACAGCAAAGTTTCGGTAAACATTGTTAAGTTGCTCGAGACAACATTGGATATGTCAACCCATGATGACCCGCAAACAGATGGACAGGCAAAACGCTTGAAACGCGTTTGGAGGATATCGTCCGATCAAACGAATGAACGGCGGTGCTGGAACAAGGCGTTCTATCTTATTATGTCTGCATTGAATATACGCGATACATGCCTCGATTTTACACAAATTATTTGATGCATTTGCTAACACCACAAAACGTCTTTCGTCTTAACCGGCAAGGGGCTATCGACTTGATGATATCAGCCCGGCTATACTTGAAAGCCTTTTCGTAGTAAGCTTACGTGTCATATGCAGGTTGCGTGATGCTATACCTGAGAGCCAAGACCAACAAAAGCTACACACCGATTGTAGTGAGGGTGGATTAAACAAGAATTTGCTGCAAGGTAAAAATTGCACTTATCCTGGCTGCATATGCATTAGCCGTAGTTTAAATGACAAATTTACGACAGCGTTACATTGAACCGTTCTCGGTCGTAGCAAGATGAGATGGACTTTTTGCTCTGAATATCCCAAAATCAATGCTTGCAAATCTAGAGCTATATTTAGGATAACTGGATCTAAACTTCGATCTCACTCTAACAAGGCAGTCAAACGTGAAGAGCTCTGCTGTAAATGGATCAAAAACTCTACCATAACCTATAGCTAGGACATCTTCTACCACAAAGTAGCAACCAGGCTTTTGATAGGCTAAGGGTGCCTCAAGCCAGGCAGTGCGATGGTACAGCTCGGAGAGCAAATCCAAAACCCAGCTCATTTCAGCCTCGGCTGCGCGACGAAACTCTCGAGACCAGTCGACCTGCCATCACAACAAAAGAGGCTTACGAGAGACAGCCGCAGAATAATCAAATTCCGACGGCACTGCGCAATGAACAAGCGGTGCTTATTTTTCTTGTTCAAGCGTGAGGCAAAGCTTTAGCGAATGTCTGCCTTGCTGAGGTTGGCTTGTAAAAATTTATGACGGGTGAGGCTACGGGTTTTCTCAACCAGAGCATAAAGTCAGTCAATGGCACTTTCGTCCGCTTCCATGACTATATCACTTTTTTCGTATGAGCCAAAACCTTACCCGACTGCTATTGCTCCAAAAGGGAGCGGTACTGCTTGGGACAGACTACCTGCGGGTCGCATAAGACCTCGCGAATCATTTTTTTGCGCTCGTTTCGCTCTTGGTATGAGTAGAAGGTCCACACACATCGGCGTGTAGAAGCTCGGTAACACCCCGGTGAGCGGCTTTATACGGTCTGGAACATTATTGAGGCATGATTTGGGGAGAATTCGGCGTGGCCCTTGTGCATGTAGTAGAGCATAAGGGGCTTCTTGAGCCAGTTCGAGGTTGTTGGTAACGAGCTAACAACGTCGTGAATTTCATAGCGGGGTGCTGATGACACACATTGGGAGATTTGTGCAGCGGGGAAGCTGTACACAGAGAGCCTGTAATGGAATTACACGTACCCTGGCAACAGGGGTGTGTCACACGAAATGTGCATGGTGTGACTGCACCCAAACAAGAATACGGTATGTGGCTAGGTAGCCAGTTGTTATGCATGTATTT